TTTTTTATTTTTTTTTTTTTTTTGACTTGTGAAAAATAATTTTTTTTTGTATATATATAGTTGGTAGCCGACTTGGAGATATCTCATGGGAGCATGGGTAGGAATGCGGAAGCTATGAAGGAAGAGGAGCGGGCTCGAAGCCAAGCGCGTGAGGATGAGCTTCTAAGCCAATTGGAAATAGCGCGGTTCGATCTTGCTCAACGCTCGGAAGAGTTGGCTCGGAGGACAGAGGAGCTTGCCGAGAAGACAGAGGAGCTACAAGGATGATGTTCACAAGTTGAACGAATGCTACGACCAGCTCAAGGAGAAATACGAAGTCGAGAAGACGACGGGGAAAAGGTTCCTCACGACATCAGGTGGTGCAGCTTACAAGGAGTCCATTGTGGAGGAGACCAAGGTTAATTTCCGAGGTAGCGATGAGTGTGCTGCTATGGTTGATGAGCATGCGTTGGCTGTGGTTTATAAGCCATTAGTGCGTGCTTGTCGCAAATATTTGCGCGATGCGGGTGGGATCAGCGAGGAAGTGATTCGTGGAATGGAAGCTGGCATATCCGATGAAGAGGAGGATGAAGTAGATGTTAATGGGACGGGCACAGAGGTCGTGAATGACATGGTTGCGGATGACTCCACTGTGGGTGCATCTTCCGCTCGTGGTAGGGGAGTTTAGACTTATCTGTTAGGATAGTTAACTCACCCCATTTATTTCTATTGCTATTATATTTTTTTTTTATGGATTTCGTAGTTTATTTTTATCGCTGATGTAGATGGGTATGTCCACTACTATTTCGTTTGAGTTTCTTTCTTGTTTGACTCTGGAGTTTAATATTTCTATTTATTTATTTTGACGTTGTCAAGAATTAATGCGTTGCTTATATGTATTTACCTTAGCGTATACGCAATGTACTTGAGGAGGGGATCGGTCTCTCAAGGTTTTTGTAATGGGTCGTGCCCTTTGTTCGGACCGCGTGGGTCTTGATTATATTTGTCCGTGGCCACGTTTTAAAAGTAACACCTCGTGAAACAAATAAAGGGACTTAGGTAATCCAGCTGGCCAGGCTATATTGATTATCTAAATCTCTCTAAGTGTTTGTGAGGTTATTGGATTGAGCTCATGGTAATAGGTGATTCGTGTAGATGTAATATCACCGAGAGTAAAGCAAAAAGAAATTTGATTAATTCAATGGTAGCAAAAGTGTATTGATACAAGCCTATGTGAGGCGGATGTGAATAAATAGCTAATGGGATATGCCTACGTGAGGCGAAGGTAAATAAATACTGCTAAAATAAACAAATTGAAGATAACATTTCTTGTAAGTGATTGTATTACACTTGTTCATCTTCCACGTCTTCCTTGTACTCGTTCGTTTTACTGTGCTGATGGTAGATTGACTTCTTTTGGCGTCTTTATGCCTGTCAAGTAAGATTGAGAAGAAGAGAATTTATTTAATCACTTGTATTGATGATTTAGTAATTGAAGCTATGGTGATGTTTATTGCTCTTTCACGTACCCTACTACGGGGGTTGATTTTTCTTTCTCGCCCTCCAAGATATGAAATGAACTCGTGAATTGCTGCGGGTTGCTATGCTATCACGCCTGTTAGTGGAATTACTTTTTCATGTTAGTGAGAGTAAATAAGATCATCCGTGTGCTGAATTCTAGTGGATGTATAATAATTACCCTTGACGATGTGGTATGGAGTATCTTCGCTCTTTGGGGCATTGATTGAGTAATATGCATCCTCCCGTAATAGGTTCTCAACCTGTAAGAAGATGATGGGATGTAATTATGACTCGCTGATGTAAGTAAAAATTACTAGCCCACCAGTTTAGGTGGGACGTTCACGTACCTCGTTATGTGGTGTCAAATTTCCAACCATGTACAAGCAGCTTTACAAGACAATTGACGTGGAAGGTCGTGGAGCCTGCATGGGTGGCAATTCGTGAGTAATTTTTCTATAGAAGAAATATGGGTGATGATCTCAACTGATCTGAAGTAAGGTAGATGTATACCTTAGGCGTAGAACCGTTTGAGGTTCCCTATATTCCAAGTTCTGGGTATAGGGTGTCCGTCAGTGTTCTCGAGGCGATATGCTCCGGTGTTGACGACTTTGGTGATTTTATACGGTCCTTCCCACTTTGGGTCGAGCTTACCGATGGGGTGAGAGGCTTCAGCTTTTCGGAGGACTAAATCTCCAACTTGAAAGGAGCGAGGGCGGACCTTTGAGTTATATGCCTTAGCCATGCGTGATTTATACATCTGTTGCCGGATGTATGCGACTTCACGTAATTCATCTACGAGGTCGAGGCTTCCCCGCATAGCCTCCTCATTAGCTTTTGGATCATAGTTGGTGATTCGCCAAGATGGTTCTCCGATTTCGACGGGTGCGATAGCCTCTGTTCCGAAAACTAGATTGAAGGGCGATTCTCCTGTTGCTGCTCGTGGGGTTGTGCGATATGCCCATAGCGCGTTAGGCAATTCGTCCACCCACTTCCCTTTGGCACTTCCAAGCCTTGTCTTAAGGTGTTGGAGTATAGTGCGATTCGTGACCTCCGTCTGGCCGTTAGCTTGTGGATTTGCTACGGATGTGAAGAACTGCTTGATGTCTAGGCCGAGGCACCAATTTTTTACTTTGTCACCGCATAATTGGGTCCCATTATCCGAGATGATGGAACGTGGGATTCCGAAGCGGCACACGATGTTTTTCCATAGAAATTGGATAACTTCTTCTTCTCGGATGCGTGCTAAGGGTTCAGCCTCCACCCATTTGGTGAAGTAGTCCACTGCTACAATGAGGTATTTGCGTCCTCCTGTGGCGGGTGGGAATGGTCCAACTAGATCCATCCCCCATTGGGCGAAAGGGATGGGGCTGTCAATTGGTTGCATTAACGCCGCTGGCAGGTGAGGAATATTTGCATGCTCTTGGCAAGGCTTACACTTCCGAACCAACTTCTTCGTGTCTTCATGCATCGTTGGCCAATAGTATCCTTGCCTCAGTAGTTTGAGAGCTAAGGTCCTCCCGCTCAAGTGATTGCCGCATATGCCTTCATGTACTTCTCTAAGTACGTAATCCGCTGTGGTTGGGTCGAGGCACTTGAGGTAGGGGAATGAGAACCCTCGTTTGTATAATTCTTCTCCCACTATGATGAAACGGGCGGCTCTCGTCTTTAACTTTCGTGCTTCGGTGGGATCTGTTGGGAGTTCTCCCTTCTTGAGATACTTCAGGATTGGAGTGAACCAACATGGTTCATCCTCTTCTGTGTACTGTACTTCAGTGGGTGAAGTTATCTTCGGCTGATGTGAGGTGAGGAGCGTCACCTTCCGACTTCCGATGCTAGCCATGGAACTTCCCAGCCTAGCCAATTTGTCAGCGTGGACGTTATTGGAGCGAGGTACTTGTCTTATCTCGTAGCTCTCGAATTTAGATAAGAGAGTGTGTGCGAGAGCTAAATATTTCGCCATGGTGTCTTCTTTAGCCTCGTAAATTCCGAGTATTTGATTGACGACAAGCTGAGAGTCGCTTTGGATTAGGAGCTTGTGCGCTCCGGCTGCTAGGGCGAGGCGGATTCCCGCTATCAGTGCTTCGTATTCGGCAACGTTGTTTGAGGCTGTGAATTCGAATCGCTGCGCATATTCGAATTCGTCTCCGTCGGGGTTTGTTAGGACGATACCCGCTCCACCTCCTGTGGCAGTGGAAGACCCATCGATGCTTATTGACCAAGTAAGTAGAGAGGTGCTTTCTTCTACACCGGTCATTTCGACTAAAAAATCAGCCAATATTTGCGCTTTGATAGCTGGGCGGGGTTTGAACTCCACTCCATATTCACTTAGCTCTATTGCCCATTTTGCTAATCGCCCGGATGTTTCGGGACTTCTTAGTATTTGCTTCAGGGGATAATTTGTGAGAACCACCACTTGATGTGACTGGAAGTACGGTCGAAGCTTCCGAGCTGCGTTGATGAGGGCGAGAGCGAGTTTCTCCATGTTGGTGTAGCGTTGTTCGGCTCCTTGGAGTGCGCGACTTATGTAGTATATGGGTTGGTGGCCCTTTTCCCCATCTCGGATGAGGACTGCGCTGACGGCATTAGCTGAGGTAGCTAGGTATAGTAGGAGGGTGTCTCCGGGCTGAGGTTTTGTGAGCAGGGGTGGGGATGCTAAGTATGACTTTAACTCTGTGAAGGCCTTTTGACATGCCTCATCCCACTCGAACTTTTTTCCTCCCCTTAAAATCTTGAAAAAGGGGAGAGCCTTGTCCGCTGATCTTGAAATGAATCTGTTAAGGGATGCCAAACAGCCGTTGAGCTGTTGAACTTTCTTGATCGACGTTGGCGGAGCCATGGAGGTGATTGCTTCGATTTTCGCGGGGTTAGCTTCGATTCCTCGCTGCGAAATCATATATCCCAAAAATTTGCC